CGCTTCTATACCTAAAGCTAATCCTACTTACAGCTTATCCAAGGGAGTAGTATAAAGTGTAAAAGGTTTACACTTTGGTTGGTTTCCAATCGTACCAAAGTACAACTACAGTGTACCTTTTACACTTTATACTACTTCCTCGGATAAGCTGTAAGTAGGATTAGCTTTAGGTATAGAAGCGAGTATCGGATGAGCCACAAGTAGGATCATCCCTAGGTGTAGAATGGGCATATGATGCGCGCGCGATTAGGATTTAATGTTATCATTCTCGCACATATCCGAGAGTATTGTATGTATAAAGAGTAACCCACCCGAATTTGTACAAATAAATAAGCAATACAAGAGTGGCCAATATGGACCACTTACGTCGTATCCAGGTCTTCTTTCGTTGGGCCAGATTGGACATACCTTTCGTTGCTCCTGGCCATACAGTCTGGTCATTCTGACCAGAGATCAGGAAGGAAGAAAACTCCTTCCATAGTCGGTGTGTTATCGTCACCGACAGATGTTATACGTACGATTTGAATTATACGCGAGCGTCGATCGTACGGAAAAATGCGCGACTACGAGAAGTTAATTAAAAAAGAATCGTAAGTCGAAAAAATTTACCGCACAAAACTAATTAAATGTATTTCTGCTTCCGTTATTTACTCGAGAGTACTGACCGTCTCTCCGTGACTCGATCTTTGAATCCAGAATTCAAGTCTATACACAGAAACCACTTTACTTCTCGCGTTATATTCATTTTAATTATAGTCCGCGATAAATTAACAATTTTCTAATATGGATGGATGAAATTTAAAAAGTGCTAATATCATGGAAACGTTTTTAAAGACCGATCGCGAGACTCGAACGCGAAAACCGATCGCGGATGTATGAAGATGCGTATGACTGCGCATGTTGTTCATGCGACACGCATCTCGAAAGTGTCGCGAAATACACCAAATAAATGACGTGAGATCCAGAATTAAAGAACTTTCTCTCATGACAGAGAGTAACATTGTAATTCATAGAGAGTGACGTTGTAATTGAATTTTACAGGTAACCAATAACTGCCAATAATGTATAATAATCATTTGAAATGTCAGGACAAAACATTTCGAATCTCAGGTCACATTATTTTAAATAAAGAAATAAATCTTTACTTCACATGCCAATATATTGATAAAAAATGGATAGGTTACAAGTTTAGCTCCGTTTTACGTTTTACACTCCCGTTTACAAGATTAGCTCGACGAATACGTCAAGAAATCATTCGCTCTATTCGCGTAATTTTTGCGATGTGAAATTATATTGTAATCTATCCAGGTAACGAATCTACAGAATGCACCTACGATCTACGTTCTACAGTCTATGATCTACGAACTACGGTCTACGAGATCGTAGATTCGTTACCTGAGTAAAACAACTTAGCACTCACCGGCCCCGACGCGCAGCAGCGGAGTTGACTACGTTGAATCTGTAAAAGACAAGTGCAGAATTCATATTAAAGTAGCGTTCAGGAAAAGTTAATATTTCAAAATATAATTCTTATGCGAAACGAACTTTTTCGTTTACATGATTGTCACGCGAGGGATTTTCCGCAAAAGATCTTGGCGAGAATAAAATTTGAGGAAACGTTCAATTACTTTTTCACTTCTAATTAATATTTCAAAATATAATTCTTATGCGAATCGAACTTTTTCGGTTAGATGTTCACATGACGCGAGAGATTTTCCGCGAAAGATCTTGACGAGAATAAAATTTGAGGAAGCTTTAAATTACGTTTCGATCTCTAATTAATATCTCAAAATTGTGGAATTATAAAACAAACCGGAAAAATATTGATTTTACACAAAATAAAGAACAACATTTACCATAAAGTTGCTCCGCCGGCGCCAGATGCCTTCCCCAGGCCACCTCATCCTCTCAGATTATCCTCCAGGACACTCGCGAGAACACACGAATCGTTGGCGCGACTTTACACTCCCGTTTACAAAGTCGATGTTCCGTCAAGTTCGCCTCCACTTCGAGTCGGCGAATTTTATAGTCCAAAAACTGCCAAGTCTCAAAAGTGTGGCCGTCGACAGGAACAGACAATTGACAGACGCTTGCTCAAGTGGGCTTTGAAAAGTCCTTAACTCGATATCTTATATGGTACAAACGGCACTCCCGAACGCGACGCGACACGACGAACCGCCGCGCGCGGTTGCGATTCGTTTAAGCCTCGTCTACATAGAAGTCGAAAGTCGTAGTCGTAAGAATAGTGGACTATGATTGGTTAATTCTTATGTGTCCAATTGAATTGACCAATTACAGGCGATTATTCTTACGACTGCGACTCCGCGACTCTCATTGTAGACCCCGCATTAAATAGGCGACTTCTACTTGGAATTACGCGTGTTATTCGTCTCGGCACATCACCGTAGAAATCAACGGGTCGCGACAACTACTTAAACGCGATAATTCACGTACGAGACGGTCGGGATTCTCGTAGGAAATGATCCGCGACGCGAAAACACGCGGTACGTCCGCCTCGCGCGACCGATCGAGACCGACTGATTCGGCACAATGGAATGTTAAACTGTTTTTCACCGAGGTGTTTTTACGGGCGCTACGTCATTTCTCCGAACCGACGCTCGGCGACCGAGTTGTTTACGAATTTCGCTCTGGCCCATGACGCTATGTTTTTCTTGGAATCCGCGCTCGTTTTTTCGGCCGAGGTGTTCATTCACGCGGCGACAGTCTAACGAGTCGGTTGTGTCCGCGCCGTTCCGTATATCGTATTACCCTTGGTCCACAATCTTGCTTTAAGTAAGCTGTAAGTCTTAAACCGTAAGAAATTAACCAATCACAGGTGAGAGTGAGGGGAATAAATGCCTATGATTGGTTAATTTCTTACGGCTTAAGGCTTACAGCTTATTTAAAGCAAGATTGTGGACCAGGGGTTATTCTTTCTTAATACGCGTTCATGACAAGTGCGGGAAGTAACCGCGATCGCTCTCCGCGATTAATCAGTGATCAATATCGCCGTGTCGTCGCTGAATCCTCCAGATTTACCATCGATGCTCAGTTAACCGGCGAGACAGGTATGTTGCGTGATTCACACCTGAGATTTATAAGTCCAATTAAGAATCAAAGCGCTAGCTGACTTAAAATTACTCCTTCGTTGCGATAATGGACGATAATTGTCTCTTTAATCGACGCTCGTGTTCGGATCGCATCTCGTATCGTCGCATCGAATCTCTCGTCGCTTCGAGTAAAAGTTGTTAACTGTTTCTAAATTAAACACACGAAGTAATACACGAAATATTAAAGTCGGAATGCCGATCTTTGAGTCGAATACCGTCGCAATACATTTAATTGAGAAATTAAATATCAATTAATCTTATCCGTGCTTAATTATATAACTGTAACATTTACTCATCGATAGTTTAAATGTGACATTTCTACATCGATTTCCGTTGATTAAAATTTACCTAACCATCGGATTAAAATTTACAAGGAATATACCGAGTGCAAATAAATTGATTCGATCGTACATCTTTTGTGTTTCCTTAATTTTCTTTCGCGTGTGATTAATGCTGAGGTGTTATACAAAGTGCCGCGAAGTCTCGTCAGTCATTCCACAATTTGGTCAATTATGTCGCAGAGATTTGAACTCATATAAGATTGATTAGTGCCCATCTACATAGAGATTTAAACTTAAGTCTTAAGAAATTGACTAATCACAGTCGCGTATTCCACTCATACTTGGCCGCGATTGGTCAGTTTCTTAAAGTCCCGTTCTCAGATTCTCTCTGGCCGATATACAATAAATCTGGGGAAATTTCACGTTCGCGTGACTTTCGGCTTTAGCCAACTGGCAACACTGACCTGCACCTGCCCCGCACTCGAGCCCTGTCGTCCTCTCTCTCTCTCTCACCAACGCCCGAACGTACGCGCGTCTCGCTCCGAGTGGCAGAGGCGAGTGCAAGAGAAACAAACGGACTCGACAACGAGACGAATTCAAATACGAGCACAAGAGGGAGGACAACGCGCTCTCCCTCTTTATGTTTACGAGAGCTGTCGGCTGGAAGACTGACCGGTGTAAATAATATCCTCCGTGACGTTCACACGACGGATTTGGTGAATTGTCGCAAATAAAGAACTTACTCCGTACGCATTTGTATTTTTTCGGGGGTCAATATGTATATATATATATCTGCTTGACGTTTTACCTTCTACTTTTGCTCGTCTAGTTTAAATATCTTCATTTATAGTGCCCCTTGCTTTCAGGTAAAAGCATATTGCAACATTTGCAGATCCAGCGCGTTTTCCAGTGGCGGAATCGTCATGAGAGAGAGTGCAAATAATTTCACGTGGACTCGCCAGCTCGAGTGTCCGCCGACAGTGTACAATGATTCAGTGAGGAAAATGTTAGTCATTGACCCCCACTCATTTACCGGAGCTCTCTGTCTTAAAGTCTGTATTATCTTCATGCCTAATCTTTCCCTTTCGTCAGATTGTGCAAGGGCGTACTGGAGCTACTCTGGGAGGTCATTTCCAACTCTGCGTTCCCTGTGGCTGAGGCGTGCGAGATAAGGAAGGGCCTTCTGCTGTACAAACTGAAACATGTGTTGAAGGACGCTAAAATTTCGTCCGTGAGGAATTTGAATCAGTTGAGGCTCAAAAGCGACGCACTGGAACAGCAGATATCCGCGCTGGAAGAGGAATACGAGGAGCAGGACTATACTGTCAGGCAAAAAGGTAAGGTTTTAAAAGCTTGCGTTACTCCCGGGGGTGTTTCGCTGCGGTTTCCATAAGCTTCGTGAAATTGTCAGTGCACCATTTGAAGAATGTGAAGAGCAAGCGGTCGACGACCGGCACGAGGAAGGATATGCTCAAACTGAAGTGTAGCGAGACCAGCAAGCAGATGAAGGACTACAACGACATGAGGCGAGTGTACCAGCATTTAATGCCAAACGCTTCCAAGGACGTGGATCAGCAGAGACTGAGGCAGGCCCTGGACGTCGTAACGAACCTGCGCCGTTCAGCCGCAGATAGGAAACAAGCAAGTCTTTTTTTTTTTTAAGGATACGAACCTTGGCTTATAAAATAATACCCGTGGCATTTTTTAACAACAGATCTGGACAAAGATGTCGAGTACTCTCGGTGGTATCGACGTACACACACTGTGGACGCACTTGTGTCAAGCGCTGTCGCAAGATGTTGACACGTTAAAGAAACTGGAGGCCGAGAGCGACCAGCTCGTCGGTACGAGCGTAGTCGGCGAAAACAAGGACATTGGTATCGCGAGAGCGTGTGGCCAGCACATAGCCATGGCTTCGAAATCCATTCTGTCTAGTACTAAAGCTAACATGTGCCAAGAACATTTAGTAGAGTTCATCCATCTGATAGAGGTAACGTGAATGGATGTCGAGTTGCAAGAAAGCGTGAGATTAATGCGCACGTCGTTTTGCAGTCGTTGTCTAACGAAGACATGAGTGTGTGGCTGGCTTTGAAATTGGAAGTGAGAAAGTTGGACACCAACCAGGCGTACCTGCAAAGCGAGATTCGGAAATTGAAGGGCATCATCCAGGAGAACGCCTCGCACAATCACGACTTGGCTCGATTGAAGTCCGACATAGAGACGATTGACGCGCAGACGGTTCGTATCGGCACACTCTACACTCTGCTAATATCACTCACGCTAATATCGAGCACATTGCAGGAGAAATATATCAAGGACATTCAGCAATCCATAGCAATTTTGAACTCTATGCCGACGCTGGTATTTAACCAGAAGGAGAAGCTGCATTGTGAACTGCAGAAGATAGTCGCGCTGCAGGCCGACAATTACGACGCGAGTTGCGTGAACAAGCCGTTGAACATCGAACTGGATATATTTCACAACACCTTGGATCTCGGTGCTTTACGGAGCGTAATGTTGAAGGGAGATGTGGGACTGTACAGGTTGGTAAAAGTTACCCGCGTTAAATTTCACGTCAACACCTTAGGGCTATCACATAACGGACAAATTTTGCACGCAGACACGCAGCCCGTGGTCTCGACAATGTCTCCATCGCCGCAGTCAATCCGCAATGCAAGAGGATCAAGCCTCACTTCCCAATAATACAAATACCGATGTACGCCCTCATAGAATGCTATAGAAACGCGATTACCAATATAGTTTACACGAAGCTACATTGCTCGCCGTCAACTGACGAGCCCGAGTGCGCGGTCAAGTTGGTGCCGTCGCGAGAAAAGTGCAATTACAATAGTCTGGAGCTGCTGAATCTCGCTAAGGACGTTTGCGATCAGGCGCGCGAGGAGATCAAGCGCTCCAATGTTATCCTGAGTGCTTGGTAAGTTAGTCTGTCGAGATCCGACGTTGCGGTTATTTTAACATTAAGCATATTTCAGGACGAACCAAGATGTGCAAGAAGCAATGGCGCTCGACGAAACGACCGTGGACGGCGTGTCCTTTAAGGATTGGCTGCAGCGTTACACTTTATTATTGTACATGATACAGAATAGCAAATGATCCACACATTGTGGTCCTTCGCCGTGTATCTGTGTACGATATTGTTATATGCCCGAAGAATGTTGGCGTGTATATATTATATACTTTTCTACCGCAGGGGCAATGGCTCAGAAGTACACGGGCATAGTAAATAGACTTATATTTCTCGCAAAAATACATCACGTAATACACGTTAACCAATCGTATGATTAATAAATTTCGGTTACAGTACGACGTAAAAATTCTCTCGATGTAAGAGCACTTGAAATTTTTCACATATCGCTACCTACCGAGATTGGCGGCGCACGCCCGTAATTCGCTTTTGGCACCCCACCTCGGCGAGCCACTTGCAACAAAACAACTTCAAGCTCTCGGCCGAGTGGAAGAAAAGATTCGTTGGATTGTACGCGTATTTCCTTCGTACCATACGCGCGCGCATCTCATTGCTTTTGTTTATCGCCTCAGCGATCGTACACTGATGGACGCCTAACAAAGATCAGCCGTGCCTGACAAACAATTGACGCCTCCAATTTCTTGAGCTGAATTCGCGGAATTCCGAATGTTTTCTCTGTACAGCTTTCACGAACACTCACGTATGGTACACGATGTCGATTATTGCAGATCACGCACGTGACAGATCGCAGTCGAAGGGCTCGTCACCAGTGCGGCTCGAGTTGGATTCTCTCGACACAATCGTTTCTCTTCCATCATCGAGCATACGAAGGTATATATTCTTCGTCTGTCGCTTACGAGCGGTGGAAATTTGGAAACGAGCTCTTCAATTACTCTTGCTGTAATCTACATTACTCGAACCTTGAGCAAGACTCAAGAACGTTCAAGTGAGAAGGGCAGTAGTCGGATCGGGGTCCCAACAAGTCGAAAATTCAAGGCGCCCTTTGGACTTTTCTTTTTTCCTTATGTACGTAGCCGCGTCTATAAGGATTATGCACCTCAACGTGCGATTTTATTCATACAGCTTCCGCTTCTTATACATATGCACATGTGGATTTATATAAATTAGCCCTTAAACTTGATCTTTTTTTTTTTTAAACTTTTAGTCGCCTCGAAGTGTGGCACGACCGTCGCACTCCTCGGACTCTTCTTTAGTAGTATATAAAACTAGCCTACCTATGTACAAGACGCTATGTATTACATACAAAACGCATGCGAAGCGAGCGAAATGGATAACGTTCCGGCCGTCCGGTTCATATCGGCTTCCGGGAAAATATAAACGCTCGGCAGTACTTAATAATCAGTACGATAATCAGTAATAGACAGCGATTAAGAGCAGGAAATTAAAAAGGAAACGTATGTACATAATTGTTTTCTTTCCGTCCGCAATTTTGCAAAGTAAGTATCGAGTCCTCTTTAATTCATTCATCTTTTGTCACTTTAAACTTTGAACTTATTCGATCTCGAATAATAACATCCCGTTCATTCAATTCCGTCGATCCGAGACTTTCCTCAGTTCGGCTGCCGAGCGGAGGAAAATTCCCAATGGTGCACTCTCTCGACCGAGGGCGCGAACGACTCGCGAACGCGAAACTCGCGCGCTTCGCGCGCGCGTTTACACGCGTTTAAATAGTACAACCGAGACGGCGAGGCGAGCGTCCGCGACGAGCATCGGCACATCCGCAGTGTTGGAAGGCGTCGCGACGCCGGGACCGAACGTGGGCGCGCGAAGGAGAAGGGAAGGATGGTCGAGAGTCCCTCTCGCGAGTCGACGAGTACGCACGATCACAGAGGTCGGTTACTGGCATTTCGAACCGATGCTTTTGAGCTTTTTAAGTATTGAGCAAAAGGCACGCCTGTCTTCCCAAGGCACACCGGCGCAAATCGTGTCTTCCCTGCTCCCGCATGAACGTTTGATACCTGGACGATCGACACCTTCGCGAATCAATTTGAAAAAAAATAGACCTAGACGGCTCGTTAAACTGACTCGACGGACCGTTTCAACATTTTTTCACGTTCTATATATAATCTATATAGATAATACATAAAATTACATACATAAAATTACAATTCTGAGACCCCGGTTTTAACTGTTAACCAGAGATCAGTCGATTCTCTGTCTCTTCTTAGATCATAAAATAGAAAAAGATAGAGAGTCGACTTAACTTCTGGTTAACCGGAAAATGAAAAACCGGGCCTAAAACTCTTATATTTTCTAGAAGAATCGAGAAATGTCGACAATAATGTGCGCGGTTTTACGAGGCCGATCATCTGCTCAAAGATCGCGATCTCCGTCTGACTTTCCTTCGATTCTGGCTGTTCCCTCGTGCTTTTATATAATCGAGAGATTTCGCGGCATTTCAAAGTCCGTAATCCCGACCGGCTAAGGTCGCCACACGTGCCTCCACGCGACGGCGAGTCGTAGTACAAACGAAAAAATTCCTCGATTAATTACGCGGCGATGTCCAAATTGCTATCATAATTTCTACTTAATTTTTTTTCTTTATGCAATGCCGCGCCGCCGGCCGGTGAGTCGGCAATTTTTTTCGAGACCGGTGGGAAACGCGCGATCGCGCCGAAGCCTTGACGGAGATTATTTTTGTCGAAGCGACGGGAACACCGGCCGCGTCGCGCGCGCGCGCTGAGAACGAAATCGATTTATCCCAAGTAGTTCCAAACTGCGAAAGCGGCGAATAAGGAATTTCATCAAGGTGTTTCATTCACCACGGGCTACCCGGTTTCCGGAAGGATAATTTATGTCGCATTTCAGACCGGTTCTTCCCCGAGCTCTACCTCCCGATCTTCCCCCTGACTACCCGCGATTTTGTCAGCGATTATTAATTGCTCTCAATGCGCTGAAGCAACCCATACAGCACAAGAACGTCCAGCAACGTTGCAGCAACATTGCAATGTTGCTGCAATGTTACTGGACATTCTTATGCTGTATGGGAATTAATAAGATACGACGGTTAACCGGGTGTTACGAAAATAATTAAGAAAAGGGTAATATATGCCACGCAAATGTCACGGACCGTCTTAAAAATTCCCAGAGATTACACCTTGCAATTTGACCTACACCATTTGCAGGAATGACTCTCGTTTCTTTCACGATCGCGCAAAATGAACCGGCCCAACAAGAACTGTTTGCTCCGCGAGTGGCGTAAATTATCGTAGAGGCCACCGAATACCGCGCACAATTATTTATGTGCGAGCGTTTCGTCACCCGATTCAAACGACTCGTTACTCTCTGGTATCGTCTACGACCGCGGGAGCAGCAGGGACACGATCCGCCCGAGCATCCTTCTGCGTCAGTCACCGGATTACGGTCGCGCTCGTCAAGTATCGTACCGTCAATGAGGTGCATCGACGTACGACATACACCGCGAGCCGAATACGTGCGACGTAATTTTGCGCTCTTTTTCTTTTTCGATAGAAAAGATGCGTCGACCTCGGCGGGGCCTTCAACCCTTCGTGCTTAGGTAATGCGGCAAATTAAAGGTAAAGGGAGAGAGATGGGGGGAGAGAGGGAGAAAGAGACAGAGGGGTGAAGGCCCGCGAATCCTTCGGCGATTCCGCGGAGGAAAAAGAAAAAGACGTCGTGGCGAGAGAAGATCGACTAGGCTATGCGCTCGCTCGAGGGTCACTCGACTTTCGTTGCAAACGATTTTCGGAGATTGAGCTCCGTCGCTAGGCTTTCGCCTTTCACGTAATAATCGGCGGCATCCCTCCTCCTGGGCGAGGAGCCGTTCGCGACGCCGTTCGCGACGCCGTTCGTGACGCCGTTCGCGGTTCCGTTCGCGGCGCCGTTCGCGACGCCGTTCGCGACGCCGTTCGCGTGCTTGGCCTTCGATTGATGACAATCGCCCTTGAGAACGCCGTTCATCAGCGACTTCCAGGGTTTCTTCTGCTGGTAGCTCTGCTGGTAGAACTCCTTGAACAGGAAGAGGAACATGACGGCATGCAGGCCGATCCACCAGACGAACGCCTTCGGGTAGTCGCACTCGATGAAGAGCAACTGGAAAGCGTGGACCATGATGGCGATGAACTGCAGCATCTGGAAGGCAGTCAGGTACTTCTTCCACCAGAGATACGGCTGGACCTTTGGACCCATCGCCGCCAGAAGGTAATAGGTGTACATCACGACGTGGACGAAGGTGTTTAACAAACCGAAGAAGGTCGAGTGGCCACCTGGAAGATTGACCAAAGGAAATTAGCATGAGATTGTTCGCTCGTTTCCGATCGTCGAGGGTTTGACGTAAAAAACAAACCGACATATACCGCGTTCTCCGAACTACTTGCGAATAAATCATTTCGCAAAATAGGATCTGAGTCGTCGGCAGTGTTAATTATATAGAAGTTGTTCCCGCACTGAGAAAAATTTCCATCGGACAAACCAATTAAATAGCGTTTCCGATGGTTAATTTTTCCGATTACGTGTTCCGATTTAATTATGGATACATCCGATGAAATTTATCCGATGAAATGCAGTTACCGATGAAATTTGATTGGAAAACCGATCATATTTTTCATCGGATATGCAATTTAATTGGATATATCCGTTTGTTATTATGTAATTGGATTATCCGATTATATTTAATCGGTCATTTTTCTCAGTGCGATAATCGAAGATTTGTATCTTTCAGCTAATAGTTGCGGAAATCGACACGTGTTCGCGTTGTAATCGAAAGGATTGTTTCCAGGTTCCCGAAAAGGATTTCTTATCGAGAAGGACGCATATTTAATTTTCAAATGCGCAGAGCGAGGGCTGCGAAATGCGATGGAATGCATGTGAGAGAGTGAGAAGAGCAACTTTCTTCGCGATCGCTCAAGAAATGCTCACCGTTTTTTCACAATCGATCCAAGGAAAGGTTTAAGCCGGAGTGGGGCGAGCGATTGCCCTCGCGACATTGACACGCATTAATTTTGCAAAATCGACCGAGTTTCTGCAACTTTCAAATTCATACCTGTCCACGGATTGCATAAACAATTCGTTTCGCCTACCTGGCGTGAACTTGACCCCGAACCAGACCGACATGGGCATGCAGCCGTGGTGGATCACATGCAGCGTGGACACATGATTATTCTTCTTTCTTAGCACGAAAAAGATCTGGAAGAGGAAATGCGATTAGACACGCGCATACGTCGCCCCGGAACGCACCGAATCGCCGTACGTACCGTGTCCATGAATTCGGTAAATTTCGAGAAGTAATACCACCAGCTTGCGTGGACCATCTGCGATTTCGAAATATCGATTAGGAAAAAAAGCCTTTACAATCGCCCCTTCAATCGAGTCGATTTTACGTATACGAAATTGTCTTTGACTGTGTACTCTACTCGAAACATTTTATCCTTAAACTCTTACATTCCTGTCGAAGCTCAGGACTCTTGCTTTCGATTTCTGTTACACACTTAAACAGTTTTAAATACATTGCAATTACAAATAAATTGAAAGTTAGTCCTGTTTCAACAAAGAGAGAAAGAAGAAGAGGGCGGGAGAGGGAGAGTGAGAGAGAAAGACAGACAGAGAGAGAGAAGTGAGGAATGTGCATGTTGCATTAAAAGTGAGTTCACTCAAGTGGATAAGTATCTTGATGACGTAAACAGGATGCAAAGGTAAGAAAATTAACACATTCGACAGGTGTTTTTTTGAATATCAGTTCCGACAGGAGTGCATACCAAAAGCGTTTCGCGGGAAGCACACACCGATCTGTGTCACGATGGTGTGTGCTCGAGACGAGGAGTGTCGTGGAAATCGTCATTGACTTCGCAGTGCGTCACAGTACGTATGAATGCGATGGCAGAAATTGATGCGACGCGATAGCGCATAAATGAGAGAGTCTACGTAGCTTGACGGTTCGTTACCGTTTTTAAGACGTAGTGATACATGGTGCAGTGTTACATGGCGTTAATCGTACAGGCCGCTAACTACAGTTAGAGTCGTTCTATCGCGAGCTCTAAGGACTACGTACTAAGCCCGCGGCTCTACGCACTACGCCACCTTCAGCTCTTCTCTTAGCGTATGAATGTATGAACGATCGTGTGTACAGAACCGGTCACATCATCGAGCTGCAAAAAACCCGTAGGCTCTTGGAACAATTGTTCGACCGGTAATAGCTATTGCTTTATAGCGAGACAAATATTCCGAGAATCGAGCACTAACGATGTTCAATCCAGCACGTTCAGCATCGTCCAGACCGTACAAATCGTATTTTGCTCATTCGGTTAAACTTGGAGTTAATTGACCGGTTTTGTGAAGCAAGGTTTCATAAAGTTAGACAAACGCGCACAGCGAGAGCTGAAATGATAAGGATAACTCTGCTTAAGCACAAAAGATCACCCACCCTCAACACTTCAGGCTTGTCGCTGTAGTTTACGGGTTGACATCTTAGAGAATAGTCTCCAGTCAGCCATCCGGACATCCCTATCTGCAACCACATTCGCCCAGAGGCCATTCGCCGTCGGTCAATGAAGTGATACAGAAAATAGATGCAATACAGTGCAGCTGTATATTGCGTACAAGCTTATCAACTACTTTTGCGTAAAGAGATATGTGTCGAATTTTCCGCGGACGTCGCGCCTCGCACCATCAACGGGAAAGGGAGTCGCAGTCGGCAGAAAGAAAGGGGGATGCTTCGGTCCGCGAAGGAAACGCGGGAAGAAGTGGGGTTTAGAATCGAGAAGCCTCCAGTCACAAATGACAAAACCGGTGGAGACTGAGAAGAGCGCGATTCCACGACCGCGACTCTTCCCCGATGGGGGTGCGACGCTCGCGTTCAACGCTCAGCCGATTAACGCCCGACTTCTCCACCGAAAGTCGAGATACCGGATACCGAAGCGGAGAAAGATCGGATCGAGGCGCTCGAGGTACATGCCAGGTATACTCTAGATGCGAGATGAAGAGGAAAGCGTAAGCTCTTCGGTGCCTAAATCGCCTCCGTGCTATTTACCCCCTGCAGCAAGCCTCCGCTCCGGGAAAGGAACGGCCAATCTACAAAAATAATGGGTTCATAGATGAGCTTCTTTCGTCTGTGACACCAGCAGTCTCGATGCGGTTCGGTGACAGATAATTTCTGTTGCAATTGTCGTCTCGTTGAGGTAGTCGGAAGGCAGTTGAACGGTCCGGCTAGGATTGGACCCTAGGGTTACTTACCCTGATCGCGGTGGGGCTGTTGGAATAATCCACCGGCTGGCAGCGGAAGCTATATTGGCTCCACCATCCGCCCATCAGACACTGTGTTGCGAAAGAAACGTACAATCGTGCTTCGCACATCTTTGCCGTTGGTGCGTTTCCGTGGCGCGAGATCGGTCGAGTAACAAAACGCATTCTCGTCGCCACGAGGCGCAGGAGTAATAAATCGGATTACATATTAAGCAAATATCTCGCCGGTAAGGAAACGACCTCGGCATTGTAACGTAACGATATGGCATTTGCAAATACCGAGAATCGCGCCTAAAGAGCCGCGGGGCCCTCGATTGTTCCCCCTTTTCGCAATCGCGAGACGTAAACTCAGCCGGGGGAATGCACCAACGGCAAACGTGTTCGTTTGCAATGTAATCGAAACGTAATCGCGACTGTTAAGATAGAAAGTTTTCGTCGGACCGTCGCTACGCGTTCCGGTGGTTGCCAGCGGTAAAATCGTGGAATTGTCAGATCGCGCAACTGTAAATAGCAACGTACCGTACGCCCAGACTATTATCATCCGTTTTCGACCGTGTCGCGACGAATGCCGTGCCGGCAAACCGAGCGTGAGCCCCGGTGACGAGTTCGAGAGGCGATTTGGGATTAGCTAATGAATCCACGGATAAAAAATCTCTTCGAAATTGTTCTCCGAAAAGAGAAGCGAGGAACATCCAAACGTTCGTCGAACATTTGTTACAAGCTACGCTCTGAAATTCCGCAACGTTGGATTACAAGAAGAACAAAATATCCGCTTCGATTAACGATCGGTGAGTCGAGCTGAAATGAAATATGAACGCAATGCGACTTTTTTCCCCTGTAAAAAATTTCTTTCGGATATCTGATTCATCGGACGCTGGACGGTCGACGTCGCGAGAGAGGAGGAGGGGCGGCGGACAGGTTTCTCACCTCGTAGAAGAGCCATGCGGAAAAAATCACTTGGAACAGGTTGTAGGCTACCAAGGTGTCTTTAAGCTGGAAGGGTTTGCGATTCTCCATGATCTTCGGTCCGAGCACCTTGACGACGTAGACGTAGCTCAGGCAGATGAACAACGTGGGGAAAGGTGAGCTCATCAGTAACCAATTGGTCGTCCTCGTGTCTGTGAAGGAACATCAAAGCGATTCCCGCGTGAGTAACCTCGAAGCCTCATTATTTTTTTTCGAAAGGACCGCAGACTCTGGCGATGCATTTATTCGTCGGATTCGTTTTTTTTTTCAGCCTTCTCGACTGAACGAACTGACGAAAGATAAAGCAAAATTGTTGGATTACGATATATTAATGTGTGAGAAACCGGGTTGGGAAAGTTACTTCATAGAAGTATCTAGTTACAGCTACAGTTTTTTTCGCTAAAAATGTAACTGGTTACGGTTACAAGTTGCCAATTCTGAAAAGTAACGCGTTACTCAAAAAGTAATCGAATCGTTACTTTGCAGTTACTTTCTTGCAATGAAAATAAAACTATCAAATCTGCATTTGAATTGCAAAGCCTTGATAAAGGCGTTTACGCGCAACTGCAAGGCCTGACGCGATCTGCGGAGGTTTAAAATATAAGGGGATGCTGGAGTAGTTTTATTAGACTTTATTAGAAAATAAATTTTATTAGACTTCAAGCCTCAATGTTTTTTATATGAAAATGTTCTACTATACAGCCCACAGTTCGGTCTGGTATTATTTTGTACATAAATGCCAATAATGAGATTTACAAACGCAAAAGCTGCATGCGACTCTCTCGGTGAATCAAACCGCTCCAGCGTATCGTTAATGTAACTATATTAAATTAGTTACTAGTTATCGAAAAAAAAAGATGTAACTGGGTCAAGTTACAGTTACAGACGGAGAAAAAGTAACGACGTTAAGTTGCCAGAAAAGAGTAACCGTAACTGTAACAAGCAACGAGCTACTTCCCAACCCTGGTGAGCAATATATGTGCATGTAGAATCGTCGCCAAACGGTGTAATACGGCACGGTATAATTCGATTAATGCGAACCGATATCGAAGCTGCGCGGACTCAAACTTCCGTCGGTTCTTTCCAGAGACGCTCGCGACCGGTCGGGAACGACCTCGCCGCAAACAACAGACGCGGCATGCAACAATGCACAGGTGTATTAACGACCGCGAGCGGTTTCCTTCTTGCTCGTTCGCTCTTTCGCTCTCCCTCCCTCTCGCGTGCACAATTCAGCGTAATCCGGTGACCATGATTTAACGTCGGTAAAAATCGCTCGTCCTTCGCTTCGAGCAACCGCCTCTTAACGTCCTTTCAGGGATGCCTGACAGTCTCTGTTCTTTTTTCCGCCATATTCACGTCCTTCCAGGGTTCGATCACCCTCCCTTCGGGTTTCCCCCGAGTGCGGACGAGGATATAAATTAACGCCCGGGTATTCCCATGGGCGTGTCCCTTGAGATTCTCCGCTCCGACATGGCTCCGACGGACTCATCTACCCGCGCGTACCGGGAACGTGAATGCGTTTACCGAGCGTTATCGAATACAACAACGCTGTTTTGCGAAAGCAACTTTTTGTGTGCAAGTTAAATTACAAATTTAAAAAAGATCATTTGCACTCTGCGCATACACGAGTGTTTCCGCAAATGGAAAAATGGCAGTCAGTGGCAGTCATTTTAATTTAAAAAAAAGCGCACGTATAAAAAGTGCGTACATCAAGAATTGTGTTTACGCATACACGTTTCCTTCATTTTATACGCGGAGGCAAAGCACGTGCGTCTTCGCGAAAAGCTGGGAAGCCATCGTCGCGCAATTTGTCTCTTATCGAGCTCTCGGTGTAGCTCCACGTGTCTGCGTTATGCAATTAAATTATGAAAACAAAATCATTTACTACCTGCAAATACGCGTGTTTCCGGAAAAGAAAACTTAGCAAGCCATTATAGCAGTCACTTTAGTTAAAAAAAAAAACGTAGCATAAAAAATGTGTACCGAGAATCGTACGCGGTTTTCCTTCACTTTTTCACGCGGTAGCAAAACGCGCGTTGTCTTCGAGCGAAAAGCTGAGGAGTCATCCTCGCACAATCTTTCCTCCATCGCCCTCTTAGTATAATCCCCGTGTCTGCGTTATGCACAGATCGAGTAACTCGCACCTCCCGCATGCAAATCACCGGCGGAATGAATAATCGAGAACTCGCGGCACGTTAATGGCGCTAACGAAGCACTTTTAAATCCCGGCGTATACACGCGCGTATTTTCACGCTTATCGCGGCGGGGCGTTAATTGGCGTATCGGCGGACGCAGACCGTTCCCATTGACCGAACGCACGACCGAGAGATGAGCGCAATTAGATCGTTTAATCGCGACGTCAAGTTCGCCGTCGGATTCCTCTCGTCGAGTTGCGAAAAGGGGCGCCCGCGTTGCGACAAGCCGGCCGGCCGTCCGCACGGAATAAAGAATTACTCCACTTTACTCGCACGGCCCGACGACGTCGCGATTATCAAAGTGACATTTCGTTACCGCGCTCGAACTGGGACAGTGGTGGTCTCAAGGAAACAGAAACCTCTGTACAATCGCCCGCTCCACTTCGCGCGACGCGAGACCGGCGAGACCGCGGCGCGATAAAACGACATTGACAAATCGCGGCAAATTACCGCGCACGTATTTCGAGATTTTGCCCTGCGGTACGTACGTAAAGAGTGATAAGATACTCGTAGAAAGACGCCCGTTTCCCGTGACTTACTTCCCAGCGACTTGTACCTCGCGAGGAACGTTCGACGTACCAAATTTGGACCGCGCAAAACGTCGAATTTCGCTCGTCTTTCTCGAGACGAGGTACCTCTAGTTCGGGGAACTAACGGGAATTTATGTGCCGAGAGATTTTGACATGTGTAATTTCTTTCCGGAACTAGAAGCCGCGAAGTCTCGTAGTCGACTTATTAAAAAAAAAAACACTGACAACGAATTAAGGTAGTCATTTCGTAAAATCATTTATGTGAGAACTGTTGCAAATTTTTACAGTTTATTCCTTACATTAACGCGTGCAAAATAAGACTAATTGAATTAAAATTGACCGTCTCAAAGTTCGAGAAAAAAAGTTAAAGTTTGCTATGTTACGCGAAATATTACGTGTAAAACACGTTAAAGATATTACACGTAACAATATAATTCGTTGTAATATTATTACACGTGAAATATGATTTACACATATTATTGTGTGTTAAAATATTAATATTTGCGTTTGCAAGCGCGAATGATGGCGCATTTTATTTTTCTTAAGCTTAACGGTGAGTGAGATTCGTGTATGAGAAACAAATATGTTATAAAGTAAACCAGAACGAATAACGGGAAAAGAAATAAAAATTATTGATCGTTCCGTTTCAGCAATATAAAGAGTTAAAAACTGAAAAATGGGAAGAATTATGCAATAGACATGAGTGTAGCGCAAGAGATGTCGCGGCAGCGCCTCAAACTAGAATCTTTCGACTCTATTTTATGTATCAATCGTAAGTGTATTCTTTAGAACAACATTGCATCAAGATACATCATTGTAATAATTGAGTGCCGGTTCCTGTCCGGTGTAGACTTTTGGGCATTGCTGTCGCGAAGCAACTACCTTGAATGGCGCATGAACGTTCTACAATTCAAAAATAACTACGCTCCGCGCGAAGTTATCTAAGAACTCTTAAGGAAATAATGCACGACAACGGTATCACCGCCCGCTATTTACATTGTTCTCTCCCGCGCGTCAATTATGTAAATCCGAAGGACTCTAATACCGCGCGGCGTCCGTCTATCGCGGCGTCCAGCTCTCGAAATTATCGCGCGGCTACGTAATCGTCAATTATAACATGTCGGTGATACCACACTGGGTACCGCGCGGCAGTAGAAACACCCGAGTTTTCGTCACTGTTTGCCATACAAATCTAAATTACTTTCGAGATTCCGCAAAGGTATTTACCCCCCCCCCCCCTCTCCCCGCGCGCGCGCTTCGCCCGCCGTTAATAATTACCTGCGTGTTTGTCCAGCATGTCGTGGAACCGATCTATATACTGCATTATGATCGACATGTTGCGGCACCAGCTGCCCTCAGGTCTGCTTTAGATAGATCGGAGTGAGGTCCACCACGCGTCCTCGCACACAATCGTCTCCTCGGTCCTCCTAACCCGAAAAAAAAGGAAGAGATGGTTATCGGAGAAATCCAACGGTTCCTACAAACTGCGTAATGAGATTTGTGCCGCTAACAGTATAACTCCTTCCGTCCTGCTCCAAAACACCGCGTTCTTTTATTACTTCAGCTACATAATGGCAAGCTGATATATCCGACGAAATTGTATATCCGATGAAAAATGCGATCGGTTTTTCAATCAAATTCCATCGGTAATGCGTCGCATCGCATCGGGTACGTACGCAACTTAATCGGAAAAGATTGAGACGGGAAACTTATAGTCAACCCAAAACTGGCTAGTTATTTAATTAGTTTATTACACGACGTTTCGACCCTATTCTTTTGGATCCTTTTCGAATGATACTAAGTCAGTCATCGCCGTCGAATAAGACAGAGTCGAGTTATAAAATATATGTAGGGGAACCC